TTGCCCAGGGTGGGAGGCCTACTGGGACTCCTGGTTGGAACTCTGCAGGGGCCAGGGAGAGGCCATAGTAAGGCTCAGAGACCCTGAGGGGGTCATCCAGAGAGGGTAAGAAATGGCAGAGCTGAGGGAGGAGGGAGCCCAGAAACAGGCCCATTGCCAAACTGGGAATGTTTCTGAAGGCAGCCCCAGGCACAGTCTTTTTTTTTTTAAAGATTTTTATTGGGGAATTGGGGGAAGGGAAACAGACAAGTGGCTGTCGCTTTGTTCTTCAGTCTAGTTGTGGAGGACGTTGCTTCACTGGCCCAAGTTGGCACCATCATTGTGCTCTTCCCAGGCAAGGCAGATCAGTCACTGACTTCTGGATAGCTGCTCACTGCGGCTGCTGGCCGCTCACGCTGGCTGCTGGCTACATACGGTAGCCCGTGGCAACCCACTGCCACAGGGGCTGCAGCCTATGCCGGATGGCGGCTCACAGCAGCCCAGCTCCAGGTTGAGCTGTTGTTCAGCATCTTAGCTGTGGAGGGCAGTGTCACTGGCCCTCATATGTGGGATCCGAACCGGGGCCCTCTGGCGTTCTAAACCAGTTCTTAACCGTTGTGCCACTCGGCCGGCTCCCAGGCACAGTCTTTACTTGGAGACCCAGTAGGTGATTTGGGAGTTGGGGAGAGTAGGGGAACTAGATCTTCAGGAAGCAGCTTCCCAAAATTCAGAATAGAGGATGAACTGGGAAATTGTTCAGGATGGTTGGGAAGCTCTTAGAAATGAAAAAGTGGTCCCCATGAGGAAAAGAAGTCCCCCAGAAACTGATACAGCTACCTGTTGAAAAGCAGTTGGAGGAAAGGAGGACATGTCACCAAAGATGAAGGCAGAATATGGCTCAGAGTGAGTTGAAGTTTGCAATGAAACTCAGGACAACCAAGAGGGCTGTTACATGTATTTGGAAAAAGAACAACAAAACAGTGCCTGGTACCAGAGGCCAATGGCATGACCTTAGGGTGGACAGAAAGGAATGGGAGGGACTCTTGAATCCTATTTTATTTTCATCTTTTCTTTTGAGCTTGAAAAACGAGGACAAATGGAGGTAGTAGAGACATGAACCCAAGTTGGGTGATTCATCTGCTGACCTGAGCAAGTTCTGTCTTGGGGTGGTGAGGTTGTGGTTGGTGACCTACAGGATGTGTGGGAGACAGCAGAGGGGCTGGGGGCTGGACGCCACTAAAGCCTGTTTTTCAAAAAGACAAGGAAGGTGGGCTTCACAGATTGCGTACAGTTAGAAAAGCACTTAGGAAATGGTTGGGGTTTGATTGGACTCACAGGGAATAAAGCATATCAATTTTAGTTTATTTTTGTGAATATTAGGTAAAGTATTTCTGGATTTCAGTGAGGCCTTTGATGTAATCTTAGGACATCTCCTGACCACCTGGTGGTGTTAGCACATTTACAACCAGTGAAAGATCCACTTGGGAAGGATTCCTCCCCACCCCTACCCCCAGCCTGTGGATTTCATGAAAGGGCTGTGTTCTAGACCTTGTTCTGTTCATGATTTGGATTTGTGTCTCAGGGGCTACTGATGGGAGTGCTGGCTGAGAACATGCCAGGAGGAACAGGACTGAGATCTCAGGAGCTCTCCATAGACCTAGCAAACAGTGGGCCAGCTCTGGAAAGGCGGGCTTTCCCAGGGAAATGTGACACTGTTTTTGGGACCTGAGAAGTAACTATGCAGACACAGCCTGGGACTGTGGCTTAGTAGCAACACAGGGGAGAACTCTTGAGTTTTTGCTGGTTGCACACTCCCTATACAGCAGCCAGAGGATGTGGCTTCCAGAAGAGCTGATGTGGGTGCATGCATTGACACACACAGTGGTTCCAGGGACGTGAGACTACAGGTTCCCTGGCCTAATGACGGGACACCTTCTTAGACCTTTACAGGCAAAGAGGATGGCTTCTACCTCTGAGTTTTTCAGTTCTGGGAAACTTCATTTCATTTCTTCTGTAATTTTCTCCCCTCTGTTTTTCTATCCTCTCTTTCAGGGACTCATTATTGGTCAGATTTTGTACCTCTGGGGTTGATCTGATTTTCTCATTATTTTTTCCTGCTGTTATCCGTCTCTTTTTCTTTCTATTCTACTTTATGGGTGATTTCTTCTGAGCTTATACTGAGTTTTTTATTTCACTATAATTTTAATTTCCAAGAGTTCTTTTTTTGTTCCCTGAATGTTCATTTAAAAAAAAAATAGCATCTGATTTCTTCTAATGTGATCTGATTTGATCTGTTAATACCTCCTTCCACTTCCATCTTCCAAAAATGTGTTTACATATAATAGCTGCTGGGGGTTTTTTTTTGTTTATTTTGATTTGTTTGGTTTGGTTTGGTCCTCTTCTCTTTGTTCTTGGTGGTTGAAACCTTGTACAAAATCCCTTTACTTTTATTTCACTGGGCTTTTGGGAAGGAGCAGAGTTCAATCTACCTTATTGAACTGAAAGTTTATTCTTTCATTTAACCTTTACATGTCCTTTGGTTTTAAATGTGTTTCTTTAGACACATTGTGATGTGATAAATGGATTTAAAAACATCCACTATGAGAGTCTGAATTTTGATCCAGGGAGCCTAACCCATCATATATTTACTATAATTACTATTTTATTAGGACTTCTGCCACCTGGTTTAATGCTTCCTACTCATGTGTTCTCTCTGCTCCTTTTTTCCCTTTCCTATCCTTTATTGTGCAGATTACATTTTTCTGCACATTTGAAAGTTACTCTTCTTATGGTTCCCTCTAATTTCCTGTGCATGCCCCACACCTTACCTTATCGCTGTCTGTATTAGCACCGTCCTGCCTCCCTCTGCTCTCCCACCTGTGCTGGTCCTGAGGCATCTCCAGGGCTGGTTCAGTGGAGGGACGGCAGCCCCGTTCATGTGCCATTTTGTTCAGAACTAGACAAAGCTTGTTCAGGGCTGTCCTAGAGGGGACTCCAATGCTTAGTGGAAGTTCGGTTTAAATGACCTTTAAAAGGGTCCCTGAGGTTTTGTGCAAGTTCTGAGTATGGTAGATTCTTCCAGGAAGTGAGATGGGTAAGCCTGAGAGCTCTCCAGTCCAGCTGGGGACACCAAGCTTCTGAAGTTCTCCCGCAGGCTGCCTCTCTGAGACTTCTACTCCCTGCTCCCAGCTTTGCTCTTAGGTGCTGTGCAGAACACTGTCCCATAGCAGGCGGGAAACAAATGAGGAGCGGGGGCCTCAGGGAGATGGTAGGGAGGGCTGGGCACTAGGTCAAGCTGGCACGGGCACATCCCATCCAGAGGCAGCCACTACTCAGTACCATCGACAGAACTTTTAGGTTTTCAAGAGAAACTAGGAATGAAATCTTAACCTCTGCAACAACATGGATGGACCTAGAGGGCATATGCTAAGTGAAATAAGTCAGACAGAAAGACAAATACCGTATGCTGTCACTTATATAGAGAATCTAAGAAACATAATAGATGAACAAACACACATAGATGAAAAGCACAAATAGACTCAGAGATACAGAGAACAAACTGATGGTGGCCAGATGGGAGGGAGGTTGGGGGATGGGTGAGAAAGGTGAAGGGATTAGGAAGCACAAATTGGTAGTCACAAAATAATCATGGGGATGTGCAATACAGTATGGGGAATATAGTCAATAATATTGTAAATACTTTGTATAGTGTCAGATGGCTATTAGACTGATCAGGGGGATCACTTCATAAATTACATAAATGCCTAATCACTATGCTGTACACCTGAAACTGCTATAAAATAATATTGAATGTCAAATATAATTTAAAAAATATATAGTCAGGAAATGTAAAGTACAACGTAAGGAATATAGTCAATGATATTGAAACACCTGTGTATAGTGTCAGAGGGGTAGTAGACTTGTTCGGGGTGATCACTTTGTGAGGGATGTAAATGTCTAATCACCTGAAAATAATAATAATAAATAATAATAAAGAGAGAAGGCAGATTTTCTATCTTTTTTAAAATTTTTATTGGGTAACAGTGTGTTTTTTTCCAGGACCCATCAGCTCCAAGTCAAGTTGTTGTCCTTCAATCTAGTTGTGGAGGGCGCAGCTCAGCTCCAAGGCCAGCCATCATTTTCAATCTAGTTGCGGGGGGCGCAGCCCACCATCCCATGCAGGAATCGAACCGGCAACCTTGTTGTTAAGAGCACGTGTTCTCACCAGCTGAGCCACCTGGCAGCCCCCAGATTTTCTGTTTTTTGATTTGTATATATTAGCTCAAAACTGTTTATAACCCCATGCAGGCTAAATAGCATGTCTGCAGGCTGGCTCTGGCACAGACACTGCCACCCACGACCGTTGCTCTGCTTAGTCGATGAGTCTGTTCTTGTTGCCCTTGACTGTACTCCCTCCTGGATACCTGTCCCCCAAATATGTGCTTTCCTACATCCGTCCCCTCTCAGCCACCTATTCTGGGCCCCTATACTCTGCAGCTTCACTGGTCAGTGCCCTTCACGCTGCCTGTGCTGCTTCTCAGTCCCTTGTTCTGTTAACCATCGTAACCACCCCCTTGTTTGCATTATTAACTTATCTGGTAAATGAGTAGTGTGAAGGTAAACTTTGTTCTTGCCCTATGAGTGGAAGCCACATAGGTTTGGTTTTCCTGGAGCCTGTGTACAGCCCATGAGTCCTAGTCCCTAGAAGTACAAGAAGGGACTCCGTCTGCTTCCTGGATGGCTCTGCCTCTCTCCTCACTCCTCTTGAGTGGCAGTAGCCTGCAGCTTTATATACACTGGGCAGTTGATGACTCATTCATCAGCAGCCCCTCAGATAGGGAAGTGAAACAGCTACACCTGGTGGGCCTGGCCTTTGGGTGACAGAGGAAGTAGCTATACAAACTGCCAGGGAGGAAGAAGTCCCTTTTGTAGCCAGACGATGAGGAAAGCTTTCCTGGCCTGGCAGCTCTGGTAATGGTTTCTCCCCCCCACCCCCACCCCCCACTTTGTCTTGGTGACAGCTGGAAGTAGCAGTGGTCACAACTGAAAGAGCGAAACACTTCTACAGCCCCCAGGACATTCCCGTCACCCTCTACAACGACACTGATGAATGGGAGGTCAGTGCTGGGGCCCCAGGGCTGAGTCCATGTGTTTCTACCAACAGGACAGGAGTGTCCTTCTGCAGCCCATGGTCCTGGTGGCCAGAGCAGACAGGCCAGGCTCCAGTCAGAGGCCAGGGCCCTCGGGGCAGAGGCGATGAGGAAACCATCTGTGTCACTTCTGGCCTGCAGGAGGTTTGCAGCCTCCTCCCCCCACAGGCGGAGCTCAGCTCTGGCCCCATGCCTGAGGTTCGGTGTCCTTGTACTTATCTGGACTGATGAAACCACAGAGCAGCTCTGTTCCCACCACCCTTGTCCATGTGGCTCCCAGTGTTGGGGCTGTATGGAGTGCCTCACTTCCCACAGCCGCAGGGCCCTGCGTCTGTTCTCCCACAGAGGGGTGGGCCCTGGCGGTTCACAGGCGTTGAGTGTGGGCCTCACAGGGGGACTGCCAGGCAGTTTTAAACATTCTCAGCTTAGACGCTTTTGGCTGGTCCGTCTTCCCCACCCCACCCCCGCCGTGTCTCGCAGCCCCAGAGCCCTTCCATCGGCTTGGACAACCCAAGTATCTGCCTCAAGCCGACTGGCCAGGAGTTCCCTGCCAGATGTCAGTTCTCTTGAAAACCAAACCATAAAGGGAATAGCTCAGAGAGACAAGGGGCGTTTGTTTCCTTAGGCCTGGTTTCTCTCAGGCCGTTGGCTCCACAGCCAATGCACACCAGCTTAGCTGCCAGAGGGAACGGCAGTGGACGTGGGCAGGGGTTGCTCGGGGGGTCTCCCTTGGGTTCCTGGCTTAGTGTCCTTGGCCTGTGTTGGCCCCTGTTCACCTTGCTTTTCCCACACGGAGAGAGTGGCCAGCCCAGTGACCCCATTTCTTTCCCTCTGCCAGATGTGGAAGTGCCGGTCTGACCCTGTTCTCCACATTCACCTGCGGAGGTGGGCAGACCTCATGCTGGTGGCTCCACTTGATGCCAACACTCTGGGGAAGGTGGCCAGTGGCATCTGTGACAACTTGCTTGTGAGTGACTCCCTGTGCCGTCCTCCCTCCTGGGCCTCACTCCCAGTTTGCTGAGCTGCAGACCGCCTTTGCACAAGGTTGTTGCCTTGGAGCTGTTATGTGGGCCGGTTTGCTCAGAACACAGTCCCCTGACCCCCAACCCCTCACCTGTGCTCTGGCGAGTGGCCAGAAGACTGATCCTGATGGGGGGACTTGCCTGTGGGAGCTCTCTGAGCGTGTCCACCTCTCAGCTGCCCCTTGATGCTCAGTCCCACTCCCTTTGTCCTTTGTCCATGAGCTGCCCTTCTGTCGGCCTCCCTGCCAAACCCCATTGTCTGTCTCCCTTAGCTCTGCTTCTCCCCTGGATATCCACATGGGCAGCCGATCAATAGGGTGTACTTCCTCGTGGTCCCTCATGCACACTTATCTTTCCTGTTACTTTAGCTACAGGTGGAGGAGATGTGATTTTCCTGTATATTATGGAAAACTTAGAAGGGAAGAGAGAGAAAGATAGGGTGAGAGCATGAGGTGACGGGTGGTGGAAGACAGGACCAGGAACCCAGCTGTATAAAGTGGGGCTTGTCCAGGGCCTAGGGGACTTCCAGGGAGCTAGTGGCCTTAAAGAGCCTTTGTTTATTTGATCATCCTGGGAAGAGTCAGGCTTCTCTCTCCCCTCCCTCCCTCTGCCTCATTACCCTGCTTCCTCATCCACTGAGCTTTTACCTACCATGCCTGGGCCCCATGCTGAGGGACACACAGACACAGGGAGCTCACAGTCTGCTAGGAGAGGGTTTTGGTTACTCGGCTGGTCAGAAAGGAGTCTGCTCTGGTGTGTGGTCCAGTCTTAAATGAGCCCAGTCAGCCCTTTGACAGTGGAGTCAGCACCTTGCACAGTGCTGGGCGTATAGCAGGCGTTCAATAGATCCTTATTGTATAGAGGAGGTAGTTAAGGAATTTTACTTTGGCGAACAGCCAGGTGTTTCTAAGCGTTTACTATGCTGAAGAAGTGTAATGAAGCTGGATCAAGATTGTTTGGGGTCAGATCGGAAGTTAGTCTCCTCCTATGCTTGTTGATGGTATGAAAGGCCCTGCTTGGAGAACCTCCTCGTGATTTAAGCATCATCTGGATAAGAACACAGGGTGTCGAGAGGATGAGCCTTGCAGATTGTGTGTCCCGGAGCGGGGTGGGGCCACGCAGAGATGGGCGAGCCTGGGGCGGTATGACCGGGAAACCTTCCCAGTGGGGCCGATGCCAGGACTGACAGGGCGGCTGGAGCCCGAGAGGGTCCTGCCACTTTCTTCTAAGTGGGTCGGAGTTATGTGTGACCAGCAGCATGTCACCAAACCTCCAGGCTCCTCCCTGCTGGTCAGTGAAGCACATCAACCTCTAGGGGTTAAGCCCCGGCCTGGGCCCGTTTCAGAGGGCTCCCTCCTTCCCCCTGAAAGCTCTGCTTTCCTTTTCTCTTCAAAGCTGCCACTGCCCCCTGAAATCTTTCGGGTTCCCTCCTTCTGAGTTGGCTGAGCAGTAAAATATGTTCCTAAGACCAGCCCCCAGGCCATTTTTCTCAAAGGGTTTCACTTAAAGACAAATATTCCAAGGAACTGCAAATCTTGTAAACTGTCACCATCCTTGGTCTGTGGCTCTGTCCTCTCTCAAAAGATGTTTTCGCCTTATATCCCTGCACAGAAGCTCCCCTTGCCGCCCCGCTGCTTCAGATCTCCTCCCTGTCCAGTGCCCAGAACTTGGGGTGCTGTTAGAGCAGCATTATGAGTGAACCTGTGCGCTGGCCTCCGGCCTTTGGCATCTCCACTGCCCTCTGGCTCTCTCAGGCCTCGATCCCTTCTTTGTGCTAAATGGCCAAGCAGGCACAGAGAGAGGAGGTGACTTCCCGGGTCACCAGTCTAGCTGGGAGCTGGCCTCCTGACCAGGTCCCAGGCCTTCTCTCTGCCAAGCGGATTCCCAGGGGCAGGGCCTGAGGTGCTGAACACAGCACTGGCCAAGCAGAAGTGACCGTGGGAACTGATGCCTCCGCTCGTGCCTCTTGGAGGAGCTGCGGTTAGTCCAGGAAGTGCTGAGCTTTGAGATGCACTGGGCAGAGCTAGAGGAGTGGGGCAGGAAAGGGTGAGGTTTCTGCTCTGGTCAGTGTCTTTGTTTTGGGACCCATAGAAACCCCAGCCCATCTCCACCCCACCCCACATGCAGTTGGGGGACCCTTCTAGGTATGCCCATGACTTATGCAGAAGCAGCAGGTGGCATGGGTAGTCTGTCTGAACCTGCCCACTCAGAGCCCGGCCTCTGAATTGAGAGGTCTTGGTGGGAAACACAGGCTGGTGTCTGGGGCTTCCGAGTAACTGGATCCTAAGGCTGTGTGCGGTCCTGCTTCCTCCCTATCCCCAGGAGAGGGCAGAGGCACAGGGAGGCAGGCGGCATTGGCCCTGGCCTGCTCATTTCATTGTTCTCTGGACTCCTCCTTCTTCAGGCTCCACTCAGGAAAGGGGTGTGCCAGCTTGACGCGACCCGTGCACCTGCTGAACACACCTGAGAGGATTGGGTGGGAGACGAGAAAAGAAGGAGCATAGAGACCAAAAGTTGGGAACAGGAGGGACCCAGCTTGCTGGTGACAGACTGAGACCTCGTTTATTGATTACAGCAAGCTTAAACAGAGGAAGCAATTTCCTCTTTGTAGGGAACAATTCCCTATTTGGGAAGGGGATTTTGGTCCCCAAAATCCCCTAAGCAATGATAAGTAATGCAAACAGAAACTGTCAGTAAGTCCATAAGCATTCGCTGGCAACTGGTTACTTTCTTCAATCTTTGCACAGCGTAGGTGGTCTTTTGAGCTGTCACTCATCTCCGGGTAGAAGAGCTGTTTCTCAGGCTGCTCTCAAGCTGCTCAACCTAACATGGAGGCCTGTAGCTTGCCAGCTTACAGCCTCAGTGTCCCTGGCTGATCCCAGCCAGCTCCCCACACCAGCTTGTCTCCCCAAGGGGCCCAGGGCAAGCAAGGAGGAGCTGCCTGGGGCAATCAGAGTGGGAGCCACTCCTCTGGGCCCCAAGCGCATCTCTCCTCCAGGCAGCCCTTCGCCCCCGGGAGCCTGCACCTGTGCTCACAGCAGGGGCTGCTGTTTCTGTAGCCTGCACTTTGCCAGGCCCTGTGCGAGGGACTTGAAGCATTTCCACCCTCAATCCTCACAGCCGGCCAGGGAGGGGGCTTTGCAGAGAGGAAAGGGTTGCTCCTGACATTAAAACCTTGTCCAGGCTCTCGTGGCTGGTAATAGGAGGTAGTGTTGGGGTCACCGCTCCTTAACAAAACTTAGACAAAAGGTTTTCGTTCCAGAGACTTTATTAGCCAAGCCTGGTGACTGTCTCTCTCTGCATGAGGAGAGATCAGCCCCTAAGTCTTGGTGGGTGAGGAATTTATAGCTGAAGCTGGATACAGAAGTGAACAAAAAAGCGGTTAGTGTGTAAAAGGAAAAACGGTTGGTTTAATTTATTTTAATAAACTATAAAGGTTATTATTTTTAACGAGCCATAAAACATAACTCACTTATCTTCTTAACAGGCTATAAAACATGACTTGTTTATCTTTTCCTAACAAGCCATATACTTTGCTTATCTTCTTCTACTTTCTTGACAAGACAATTTGTTATGTTTTTTTGCTGAAGCAGAAGTTTTTAAATTCCTCTGGGCGGGGGTACTCTCCGAAATGAGCTTGCCTAGCCTAGGGTCTGGGCCTGGGTCTCTACAGTAGCACAGCCAGAATTTGAACCTAGCTGTCTGCGATTTCAAAGCCCACACTGCTAAGACTATGAGCTGGTTGGTCCCTTCCGCAGCTGCTTTGATCTGTGACTTGATGGGATGGCCTGGAAACCAGGTGGTAGTAAGGCTGTGAGGTATGGTGGAGGTCATGCACAGCCTCACGCCCCTGCTCATTCTCCGGGTGTGTGACCTGGGACAAAGACTCCCTTCCGGGGGTTACAGCTTCCCCGTCAGTGAAATGGACAGCACCTTCATACAGGGTTGCAGTGGGAGCTCATGAGATAGGATACGTGAGAGGGTCTTTGTCATATGTAAGGTGTTTTTTGCTTTGCCAGCTTAAGTTGGTCTCAAAGTAGAGACAGTGTCAGGGTGGATGGGCCCCACCTGCTGAGCAGACTGGTCCTTAGCTTTGGGGTAACTGCAGAGCTGGCCTTCGGCTCCCAGGGTTGCTTCTGCCTGCGAGGTGTGGCTGGCTGTGGAGAAGCCTTGTGCCTGAGCACAGGGAGACCTTTCTGCACAGGAGAGGAGGTCTGTTTCGAGGTGGCTGCTGGAGCACCTCCTGTGTGAGGCCCTGCGCCAGAGCCTGTGGGGAGGTGGGAGGGGTGAGGACACATGGCCCACCCCTGAGTGACAGGAGGGAACTCCCTGCAGACTGCAGCTCCCAGCCTTTCCAACCCTGAGACTAGCTGTAGCTCAGAGAATGATGCGCAGGATCTGGGCGGGCGGCGGAGAGCGGCAGGCAGAGCAGCCGCACCCTCCCCTTACCCAGAACCTTCTTCACAGACCTGTGTCATCCGGGCCTGGGACCTCAGCAAGCCCTTGCTCTTCTGCCCGGCGATGAACACTGCCATGTGGGAGCACCCCATCACAGCGCAGCAGGTGGGCCAGCTCAAGGCCTTCGGCTACGTGGAGATCCCCTGTGTGGCCAAGAAGCTGGTGTGTGGCGACCAAGGTGGGCGTTTGGTCAGGCTCACAGTCCGTCCTCGTGGCCCAGGGTCACCTCTGGGTTCAGACCAGGCTATTGTGACCTCAGGCAAATCCATTCTCCTCTGAGCTCAGCTTCTCATTTGGAAGATAGACATCACAGTTCCTCCTCCCAGAGTTGTTAGGATGAAGTGAAATGTTTATGTAAGGTGCTATGTCATTCCTGGCACGTGTCCTGGCATGCGTGCTTCATAACAGCAACGGGGACTATTCCTGGGACCTGTCCTGGGGTTCTCTGGAGGATGGGACGGGTCTGGCGCGGGCAGAAGGTCCAGCCTTCTCAGGCACTGGGCTCTGGGGGAGCCCTCAGGGGAGCCCTGGGCAGGGTGGGAGTGGGCGGTGGTGCCCTGCCCTTGTCTGCAGGGCCCCAGTGGAACTTTGCTCCCTAGGTCTGGGCGCCATGGCTGAGGTGGGCACCATTGTGGACAAAGTGAAGGAAGTCCTCTTCCAGCACACTGGCTTCCAGCAGAGTTGAACCCAGAATCTCGGTCACGTGTGTCCTTCTGCACCCAGTGTGCTTTCAGACCGCACAGGTGAAGGTGGCCATCAGCACAGTATGCTGGACATTGGCGTTTGCTGTGCAGAGGTCTGGCCTGGGCCTGCTCCATAGCCTGCAAGGCCTGACCTGTTCCACATTAACTGCCAAAGACCCAGGTCTCAACCTCTTTCAACCAGGAGATGCCCTCTTTCTGGATTCCCCCCCCCCCGCCACCACCACCACTTTTTCCTAGGATGGGCCCAGCAAGCCAGAGGAGCAAGCTGCTGTATTGTCCCTGTGTCCCTGGAAGGGGACTCAGGAAGTGACTGACCAACCTTGAGTCTACATCATGCCCAGGAACCGCTTTTAGAAAAGGCCTCAGCTGGAGATCCCCAGTGTGGTGGGCCCCTGGCCAGGCCCTTGGAGCTCCAGCTCCCTGGTGGGTGCCCAGGTACCACGCAGAGTCGGGAAAGCCTGCGAGGTGACAAGACCCTGAGATTTCCCATAGACCATACTGTGAGATGGGGGTACTGGGAAATAAAGTGATCTTTGAGAGACTGTTTTCTTTTACAGCCTGTCTGTGGTCTTAGAGATCAGGGGCATTGCTAGGTATGTGTGTGGAGGGGTCTGGGCCGACCACTACTGCCATTTGGACCCCATGTCATGTGGAGGTTAATGGCAAAGGGCTCTGAGCCAGACAGCCCCTATTTCAAACCCTAGCTCTGCCCTGTGCTGGCAGTGGGACCTGGGCTCAGGCCTCGGCCTCCCTGGCCCTCACTTTCCTTATCTGTGTTATCCGAGCCTCACAGAGTTGCTGAGAGGATGAAATGAGATAATTTGCACAGAACAACCTCCCCACTGGGAGCCTTCTACATATTGTAGTAAATGCCAAATAAATGGGAGTTAAAGCTAGACGTGTAAACGTACCAGTGAGTATTCCCAACGTTTGCTGACATAGATTGTCCCATTTGGGGAAAAATAAAACCCAACCCTAAGCAGACGTGGCCCTTTATGCAAGTGACAGGTACATAGCCAACAGGGTTGGAACCCGCTCCAGAACCCAGGCCCTTTGCTTCCTGGTGTCCTCATCAGCTTTGCTGCACTGAGACAGGGCCTAAGTGTCAGCGCCTTCACCCCACCCACCAACAGCACTCATGGAGGGAAGACCTGGTGGGGAGCTGACTCCACAGACACACGCTCAGCCCTAGAAACCCTCTGTGCCCGGCCTTTGACCTAATTCCTCTTTGGTGGCTGCAGTGGAGAGGGGCTGGTTTGCCTATTTGGAGCTGAGGTTGGGGCTGGCTTCCTGCCCTCCTGCCCTTCAGGTGGGACTCCATGCATGCCCTTGGACCACTGAGCGTATAGGTGCCTTTGAGGGGTACCAGGAAGCCTGCTGGCTGGAACTAAGGCCTCCAGCCTCCAAGAGCCTTTATCTCTACAGTGCTTGACTTAATCAAGTGACCCATCAGGATAAAATAGTCTTAGGGCACTAAAAAAATATATAACTAAAATGGCAGCCTCTTGGCTTCCCCTCTCCATACGCCTAAGTTCTCGAGTGAATTGTACTCGACCCTTTTGACGCTCTAAGCAGCAGCATGGCGGTCGGCAAGAATGAGTGCCTTACAAAAGGCGGCAAGAAGAAAGCCAAGAACAAAGTGGTTGATTAATTTTTTAAGAAAGATGGGTATGATGTGAAGGCACCAGCTATGTCCAATATGAAAAATACTGGGAAAACACTAGTCACGAGAACACAAGGAACCCAAATCGCATCTGATGGTCTCAAGGGTTGTGTGTGTTTTTTTTTTTTTTAGCTGAGCCATCCTGCCACCTGTTGGCAGCTCAGCGGCAGCTCAGCTTGGGCCAGGACTTGAACCACTGTTGCTCAGAGCTCGCACTCTTGAGTGAGCTCTTAACCAACTGAGCCACTCGGCCGGCCCCTCAAGGGTTTTGTTTTTGAAGTGAGCCTAGCTGATCTGCAAGATGATGAAGCCGCATTTTAAAAATTCAAGCTAATTACTGAGGATGTTCAGGGTGAGAACTGCCTGACTCATGTCCATGGCATGGATCTTACCCGTGACAAAGTGTGTTCCATGGTCAAAAAATGGCAGACCATGATTGAAGCTCATGTTGATGTTAAGACTAGCGATGGTTATTTGCTTCATCTATTCTGTGTTGGTTTTACTAAAAACACAACAATCAAATTTGGAAGTCCTCTAATGCTCAGCATCAACAGGTCCACCAAATCTGCAAGAAAGTGATGGAAATCATGACCTGAGAGGTGCAGACAAATAACTTGAAAGAAATGGTTAATAAATTGATTCCAGAGCGCAAAGACATAGAAAAGTCTTGCTAATCTGTTTATCTGCTTCATGATGTCTTTGTTAGAAAAGTCAAAATGCTGAAGAAACCCAAGTTTGAACTGGGAAAACTCATGGAACTGCATGGTGAAGGTAGCAGTTCTGGAAAAGCTCCTGGGGATGAGACAGGTGCTAAAGTTGAACGAGCTGATGGATATGAATCCCTAGTCCAAGAATCTGTTTAAAATTCAGGCTTTTCATAGTGACAAAACCCATTGGTGATTTTTAAAATAAATAAATAAATAAATAAATAAATAAATAAATAAATAAATAAATAAAAGGAAGGGAAAAAGAACCAGGCTATTTCGCTGCTTTGGGGGTCAGGACATGGGGAGGGCCTGGGTAACTGAAATCTAGAGACAACTCCAAAGTTCCACTTACATGGTTTCCACCTTCCCTTCTTCTGTCTACATTGCCCTTCCTTTCCCTCAGCGACTTGCTAACGCATGGTGAGGCTTTCCAATTTTAACAGGCACGCCTACCATTTACTTATCTGTGCTGACTGTGAACCAGGCTCTGTGCTGGACGCTTCGGGAACTCTGTTGCACAGGTCTGCTACAAAATGCCTGTTGTAAAAGGTTGCAGGGGCACAGAAGTTCCTAGGCCTTTGCCTGATGCCTCTGAAAGCAGCTGGGGCTACTCAGCAGTACTGACCTTGTTGGCTGGAAGGAAGGAGATGTTCCCTTGGATGTGGGCCAGCTGGAGACCCCATCCCTGGGGTCTGCCACTCCACCCTGGCAGTCCGGCACCCCTCTTGCCCATTTTGAATGGGTGTCTGGGTGAACTGGCTAGGGCTGAAGAGCTCAGTTGTTCCCTGAGCTACGCTTAGTACCTGAACTGCATTAGCCTGGCCCCACCTGCCAGAGGGGCGAGGTGGGAGTGATAACCACGGTCTTGTCTTCCCCAGTCAGAGGCAAAGCTCTTGAAGTTGTCATCATCTTGGATAAAAATGTTTCTCAGAGAAGATGCCAACTTCCCTGATGATTTTATAGAATTCTGGAAGTTTGACAGGATAGAACGTTTGGGTCTCAAATGTGCACACTTGTTTGGCAGCCTGGAGCCCCTATAGACTGCCTTGGCTGCTGTTGGGTAAGGCGGCAGCCTGTGAGGCAGGGCCCAGCCGTCACCCTTGGCTACCTTCAGTTCTTTCCCTACATGGCTGGTGTGTCCTTCTACCGCTTCCCCACTGCCTCAGTGTGAGGCCCCGACTCCTAGGCAGTACACTCTTGGCCCTCTGTGACCTGGGCCCTGCCTGCCTTTCTAGCTCCACCCCTTGCCACATGCTGCCAACCCTGCAGGGCTCTGTCCTCTTGCTAGACTGGACAATCTTGACCGAGCCCTGCTGCTTCTAGCCTTTGCACGTGCTGCCTCATTTACTGGAAGGCCTCTTTTACCTGGCTGACTCCTCGACATGCCTCTGATGTGCCTGGGTGTCTCCTTTGGAAAGCCTTCCCTGGCCAACTCAGGCTGTTTTCCATGTGCCTTCTCTCATTTATTACAACACAGAATTGCAAAGGTGAGTTTACTTTGTGTCCCCCTAAACTCCGAATCTCTTGGAGGGCAGGAGTTGTCCTCACAAAGCCTGGTAAGTCATTCCAAGCTTCTTATACTGACAAAATAAAAAAGGTGTGTGTGGGGAGGCTGGGGGTGGGGTGGTCCTGCTCCTTCCTGAGCAAAACACATAACCTAGAAGTCATAAAAGCAGAGACTGATAAGTTTGACTAGAGAAAAACAATTCCACCTAGCAATAGCCCAAAGGCAAGGTCAAAAGAAAAACAAACTGGGGAAATTATCTGCAGCTCATATAACAAAGGGCTACTTCCTCTAATATATAAAGTGCTCCTATACATTGATTAGAAAAAGATCAGGAACACAAAAGTGAACAGAGGCTAGAAACAGAGTACACACACACACACACACACACACACACACACACACACACACACCTTTAAACGTAAAACGTTCAACCACATTCATGCGTAAAGCAGTGCAAATCCAACTACACTGAAATAAAAGTTTTCACCTATTAGATTGGCGAGGGTGTGGGGGAGGGGCCCCTCACACACTGTTGGGAGGAGTGTAAATGGATTCAGCCTCTTTGGAGAGCACTTTAGAAATATCTTTCAAAATCACATAGGCACCTTTCCCTCTGACCCAGCAATTCTACTGGGGATTGTCCCACAGGCGTTCACATATATGACATTATGTCTCAACCAGACTGTTGCACTGTCAATGGTGGTAAAAGACAGAAAAACCCTCACTGTCTAACAACTGGAGATTGTGTAAATAAATTCAGATCATTCCTGCATTGGAACTCTACGTGGCCACAAGACGAAATGTGGGGAAGTGCCCCAGGTGCTGGTATAGATGATGTCAGACACACGCTAACCAGAACATGCAAGATGTAGAACAATGCATGCTAGCCTGAGTAAACAAAAGTGAGGAGAAAGGAGGACATGTTCCTATTGGCTTGTGTATGCCTCAAATACCTACTGAAAAATAAAGGAGAAACCAGCCATTGTTTGCCTCTTAGCAGGGGAACTGGGTGGTTGAGAAACAAATGTGGGAGGCTGACTTCATTTGAAATTTTGAGCCAGATCCATAAATTATCTACCACAAAAGCAATAAATATATGCATTTAAATAAGGGTTCCTTCTGCCCTTTATCCGGAAGTTCTTAAAAATGACTTGGCAGGCAGTTAATGCAAAAGGCTTGGCAGGGGCATCTGGAGATTTCCATCAAGGCCTTTGGAACCAACACGGGTCTGTTTTTCTTGTCATGAGCTAATAGAGGAAGATAGTTTTTGAGGACCCTTGGGTGCTTTTCATAAAGCCTTTGAGGTCCCCGATCTCATGGGAAGAAGACTCAAGGCTTTCAAGCAGCCAAGTGACAGCCAACATCAAGTGAGGCTGTGCAGTGCAGACTCAAAGTGCTGTGTTCAGAACTGAGAGGTAGTCAGGGTGGGCTTTGGGAGGGAGGGAGAACTCAGGTGGGAGCTTACTGCAGGACCAACGCCGGTAAAGTGGATAGGAAGGGTGCGGATGTGCTGCCATGTGCTCGATTTGGGTACCTGGACACAAATTTGGACGCCATGTGCTAGGGGATGGGTGGCTGCAGAGTGTGGTAAAGATCAGCTGCGAGGTTTGCAGGACAGGTTGGAGAACTGAGAAGCTGGAGTCAGTGAGGAAGCTAGATGCTAAG